GGTGGGACTGTAAATTAGTACAACCACTATGGAAATCAGTATGGAGTTTCCTCAAAGACTAGGCATGGAACCACCATATGCCCAGCTAGACGGCGTGTGGGTCTTCATCGTGAAGAATGAAAGTCAGTATCCTGCAGTGACACATGCCCACCCATGTCGATAGCTGCACAGTTCTCAGTAGCTAAACCGTGGAACCAGCCTGGGTGTCAGTCAACTGATGAATGGCGACAGAAAATGAGGTATAGATACACAATGGAGTCTTATTCGACCATAAACAAGAATGGAATCATGTCATTTGCAGGGAAACGGATGGAACTAGAGACCATGATGTTAAGTGAAATTAGCCAAACTCAGAAGGTCAAGGGTTGAAGGCCTTCTCTCATATGTGAGAGCCAGAGAGGAAAAGAAAGTGGAGGTGGGGATCTCATGAAAAGCAGAGGAGGGGAGGAGGGGAGGAGGGGACGTGCTGAAGAGTGGCATTGGCCTCATTATCTGGGTAGATGGGTGCAGGCACACAGGGTAACGACCAACCCCACCACGTTCAGCTGCAGTGCACCAATAACAACGCGGGAAGGAATGAACTGACTCCTGCCCCGCGGTGACGCCTCCGCTTTGCCCCTTTCTGCTCCGCAGACGCCGCGTGGACCGTGGTGCGGCACAGTGGCCCGGACCAGGTGACCGTCGGAGGCGGCCCCCGGGGGCGCGCACGCTCGGTGACCTTCGCCTACGCGGCCAGCGCGGGGCAGCTGCGGGCAGCGGTGGCCCTGGCGGAGCGCTGTGAGCAGCAGCTGGCTCTGCGCTGTGGTTCCCGGCCGCTTGCAGACCCACGAGGTAAGGAGGACCCCTGCCTGGGGCCGCGCTGCAGGGCGCCCTCCCACAGGACGGACGCTCAGCGCGCAGGACTAGTGACATGTTTGGTTTTTTTTAAATCAAAGAAACTTTGCTAATAACAGATGCCAACTTTGACAATTAGAGGAGAGTGGGGTTTTAGGGTGGATGAGGGTTAACAGTTCTTTCTGGAGACCAGCTGGGACCTTCCCTTCAGATTGTCTCAGAAGGTCCACCTGTCACTCCCAGCCCCATAATTACTGAAGTTATTACAAGAGTTTTCCGGCTGGTCTCTCATCCATTTCCCCCAGGTTATCTAATACACTGTCTTCATCTTCAAAAATGCAGATTATCTCGAGGAAGCGCTGCTTGCATCATAACCTTCTGCTCTTAAGTAGATGTTTCTCCCTCCTTCTAGGGACTCCCACAGTCTCTTACAGAACCCTTTGATGCTCCCCAATAAAGTTGTTCTTTTTT